TTTTGCTTGCCTTATCTCCACCCCCTTAGTTTCTTCCCCCAATTTTCTACCCCTTATATTAATGCCCCCTGTGGTAGGCAAAATATTATCGTTACAATGTTCTTCTTCCAACACATTTTTTGTTTTCTTGTTGTTTGTATTTTATTTCAAAATCATCTATCTTTTCTTATTCTCCAATGATTTTTCTTCTTTTTTTATTTTCGGCATCGATTTTCCGTTGGTATTCTAAAAATTCTTCCGAAGTGGCGACTATAGATTTGTTTGAATATATGTTTTTTCAAGTCAGAATAAAGCTTCTTTTGAAAGGAGGAGAACTTTTCTCCAGAAATAAAACAATCCTTTGTTTGAGAGACTTCCTTTCCAAATATCGCCTTAATTATAAAATTCTTCTAGAAGTAGTCTGTCAATTTTTTTTCGATTTCAATTAAAAATGAACTCTTTTTTTAAAACACCTGCCATTTCTTCTTGCGTTTTTGACTCAACTTTAGCAAGTAGTTTGGTGTAGTCAAAGTTATTCTGATTATATGGAAACAATCCACAAGTTCTAAAACCATTTCTTGCTGTATCCTCGATATAACGCTATCCCTAATACATTTATCCAGGTCCTTTGCAAAAGTCTGAATGGCTAATACCCCGGCCCAGAGGCATTTTTAAATGAATACTGGCTGGTACTCTTTTATAGGGAAAGAGAACAGTAGGTTTCACAACTTGTCCTTCTGCCAAAACTGTCAAAAGTACCGTGAGGCATTCGTTCTTGTCATTACCGATTCTGGTATAAACTTTTTCTCGAACCTTTTCTTACGATTACACATTTTTCTTTTGGTGAAAGAAAAAAAGCTGATTCGTCGAAATTAAAAATTCTTTTTGTGTCTGATAGAACTTCCTCTAACCTATTTGGTTTTAAATAGTCTAGAACTCTATCACACCAACCTCTTACACTTTTTTCTGTTATATTTGCCAGAGGTTTGGTCAGATTTTTACATACTCGAGGACAGAGTTCCGGATCCCTGGCGAAGAAATTTTCGTAACAAAGAAGACTTGGAATTCCGTCTTTAAATTTATTTGCTCATTCTAGATGGCAAATTAGTTCTGCAACACAACCTAACAGATATTTTGTTACAGGAAAACCAACAGTTTCTAAATATAGAATTCAATCTACTATGGTTTGTTCTTCAGCTGCAGTCAGAACGCAGTGGGCCCCACTTGTAGCACCTTCTTTATATCTGTTATGAATTTTATCAACTAGGGTGCTTTTTGGAATTTTAAATTTTCTGGATGCTTTTCCAAACGACATTCCATCTCGAGTTGAATCCAATGCTTCCTGAAGAATTTCATTGGTCGTTTTTTCGTGTGTCTGATTTAGCTAGAATAAGTTTTTCTTAAATATGTAAAGAAAAAGTTCATAATATTCTCGGTCGGTAATAAGTTACAATATATATTTCTTATACTTTATTACCGACCGTGAAAATAGTAGGTATTATTTTAGGAGACTACTTTTGAATATTTTAAAATTCATATATTTCATTTACCTTTAAAACAATGAAGTACCACGAATCTTATTATCGTTTCCCGTTCAAAAACAGACTTTTGGAAATATGACACTTAATATATTATTCTATTTAAAAGTAATTGTTCCAAAGCCGACTATATAAATATCGACCGACTTGGTCGAGTGTTGATGACGAAGTGAGGTTGTTAGCGCCAAAAGCTGGCTTCTACATCAACGGGCAAAAACACAAAGCGCTCTAGCGTATGTTTAAACAAACACAAAAAATGAATATTATCATTGTGACAAATATCTTTAAAATAATCATAGATGCGAAACGGAACAGCAATACTAACCTTGATATATTAACTAATGCTTAATAATGCCAACACATGTGCACAATGATTCTTATAACCTGCCTTACGGAGTTTTCCAACACTACTACGAAATCTCATCGAACTACGAAGACTTTACTTCGAAGAAGGTTCTACAGCTCTTTAAGTGTTTTAATAAATACGAGGTCTCACGACTTCGATATTATCAAACAATAAAAAGTGTAAGAAACCGGCGTTTGTGACTGTTCGACTATCTTTTGTCCAAATAAAGAAGTCTGGAAACGGAATTGTCATTATCTCCCAAAAGCCTTTCAAGCATTTCGAAGAGAACACTCACTGGTCAGGGAGATATTGATCTTCGAAATAGATAAAAGTCAGGTTGTCTTAAAACTATTTCGGATCGTGTCCTACTACCGAGGGTCAGGAGTAAATGGAAGCCCGAGCGGAATTACTCCTTAAGGTCGATTCAAACACATCAGTCACGTCTCGTCACAGTCCCAGCGCCGAACCGAACAATCCGTCATACAAAATATTCTTTAATAGAAATATGCCGCCGGCGTTTACAGTTGGCGCACAGTTTCCCAGCAGTCAGGTTTCGACACGTCTATCGCCCGGCCGATTTTGTAATCTCAGCGACGAATTTTTTTGTTTTGCCGGAAACGTGACGGGCGGTACCAGTGAACAAAATAAAATTATTGACGAACAATTAATAGAATGTTTGAGAAAATATAATGTTTTATATAATTTGTCGCATGCAAAATACATGGACATTAATTTTAAAAATAATATTTGACAGGAAAGCAATTTTTCGACATCCTAAAATATTGATGAAATTTTACATCATCATGAAGAAGTTCTTTATACAGTGTCACGTATTCTCCTTCCGTATCCTTTTTTTTTTTCATGCGTCATGGATCTATTTCCGTCTTTTTGCTTGATTTGCTTCCGCTTCTTCTTCTTCCTCGTCCAAACATATAGCAATTATTGCTAATTTCTTTCCCAGACGGGACCGGTTTGGGGCCAGGACTGTGACGGGACTGATGTGTTTGAATCGACCTTAAAGGTCCTTAATCGGTGAACGAGCTGAAGCAGCCCTTCGTCCAGTATACCTGGAGGACTGTAAATTCGGTTACACGCTGGGACTTATGGGGCCGGCATCTCTGTTGATATTCGAGGTGTCTGCTGTGCCTAGAATGGTAGCAAATATTTATTATTAGACAAATATGTACATCTAAGTGTAAAAATTCAAACTTTTAAATTATTCTAGACTGCCGGTAGCGTCTTGTTGACAACAGAGCCCCCGTTGAACCTCCCGCTAAATGTAATTTGAGGATATATAACTCCCCAAGCAAACAGAAGATGGAATCGAAAAACCTTCGTTCCTCCTCAAGAGCGGCGGTCGGAAACTATCCTGGAACTCCAGACAATATGTCCAGCATGAACCGACTGTACGGCATTTCACCTACCACGTGATTACAAAATTCTAGGGGCAATTATGCATAGTGTAGATTTACACCGGAGAAGTAAAAGATCTAAGAGCGCAACACCTCGTGGCAAGAAAAATTAAAGAGCTTAAGAGAGATTTAGTTGGAAAAAATTGAAAAAATGAAGTTTATTTCGATAACAATTTTAATTCTGTTGCGTTACAACGCGACTTGCAAAAAGACAAGAACTACGCATGTGGAACTGGTCGATAAAATAGAAAAGGGTTACAAATGAACTTAAAACAAAAACAAATTAAAATGGGTGATTTAACCTGAAGAATAAGTGAAGATGGCGTGCTAGCTTTGCAAAGGATGGATAAAAAACCCATTCATTTTATAAGCAATTTTCACAAACCTAAATAAAGTGTCACTGTGAAGAGGAAATAAAAGGATGGCACATCACTAGAAATTAATTGCAAACAATTAGTAAAAGATTACAACAAATATATGGGCTTTGTAGATATGTCTGATATGTTCTGATATGTCTGAGAAAATCCAAAAACTGATGGCATAGAATTTTTTTCATTATAGGTATATAACTAACATTACTTAATTCATATATAATTTTCAAACACTTAAGAACTGGAACGGGAATGTCTTTGAAAGAATTCAAACTTGCTGTGGCCACCGGTTTGATTGGAACAGCCCTTCAAATGCTTAAGTTTGGAAGAAGGGCCATGGATAAATCAAGCTTCATCAAGTACCTCTAGAAATACGAACTGACACAGCAGCCTTATATACTTCAGCATGGAGCCAAAGTACGTTGTACATACAACAGTGTATACTTTTGTCCATTTTTTTATATTTTACATTTAATATAAATAAAAAAAGTCCGTCAACAAAAGGTTAAAATGATATCATTATTGTCAATATATTTGAGGTGCCTCTCTGTGGCGAATTTTCAGTGGATATTTTAAGTTATTTAAGGGGAAACAGTTTAAAGTGAATTCAAGTTTATTTTAAAAACACCTACCAGAAGAAATAATGATAGCATTTAATCGGCCTTGTTAAATATCCAGCAATCACTAAAATTAAATCATAACAGAGTAATATTAACTTATTGAGAATTCCATTGTAAATCATGAGGAATATATTCATATAAAAATCTCGAACATCGAAGTAAAACACTTCTGTTGTAAGTTCTATTTTGAATTGAATTTTGAAATTAAATAATCTAAATATATTAAAAAGTTCAAAATGTTTTCGGACTAATGAGTCCATCTTCAGTGAACTTTTGGAGTACTTGCGTAACTAAAGGCAAAATTAAACAATGGTTGGGTTTACATTAAAGAAAACATAGTTAAAAGTATTAAATTATACGGCAATACGCCGATGTAATTGGAAATCTTCAATATAAACCCAGTTACTGTTTGGTTTTGCAGTTAGTTACGTAAGTACTCCAAAATTTCACTAAAGATGGACTGATTAGTCTGAAAACGTTCTGAACTTTATTATGATCAATTTGGATTTTTTAATTTATTTTTTTAATTAAATGTACCAAATACAAATAAAAGTTTTTTACTTCGATGTTCGAGTTTTTTAACTTATATGGTATACAATCAACTCCCAGGAATTATTTCGTATTAAGCATATTCATATAATTTATAACGTTTATAATAAAGTTTTTTGGAACATAAAGGAAAAAACATGATAATATTTATTTAGAATTTTATTTTCATTATTTTTAATTTCTAGTTGCTTCGGCCGTGCCTTTCCAAGCAAAAAACATCGACATTAACGTAATTCCTGGTGGCTTATCCGGTGAAGGAATCTCATCCCGTTACTGGGATTGTTGCAAACCAACTTGCGCGTGGCCTGGAGCCATAGGATACAAAACCCCAGTAAAATCTTGCCAAGCTGACGGTGTTACTGCAATTGACCCTGAAACACAATCGGGATGTGTGGACAATGGATCTGCATACATATGTACAAACCAAGCTCACAGGGCTGTAAATGATACTCTTGCTCTAGGTGAGTTTCGTATAATATTTTGTATATCTATATATATATATATATATATATATATATATATATATATATATATATATATACATATTTACATATATAATTCGTATTTCTTGGGTTTAGGTTCAATAAATTATATTAAATGAGAAACTAGGTTTTATTTTCCATAGAAATCAACGTTTCAACAAACAGTTATTGTAAAATATATATTTAACTTACCAAAACGTAAAACGGGACACTGATATTAATGAATTGACAAGTAAAAATTGATATATGATATCTCATGGTTTACTGTCATTAGTGTATAATTATTTTTATATGGGCGTACCATTGATGTTTTCAAAAAAGGTAAAGTGGAGAAATGTTAAGACTTTTTATGTAAAATTTTTTTTATATAAAATTTTCGTATTTTTTTATTTCTTAATGTCCTCGTAATATACTTGCGTATTTTGTAACTACCTAATTCGGTCGGCCTCTGCTTCTTCTTCCTACAGCTGTTCCTGTTATCTTGCATTTGTATTAGGTATCTAGCCCATCTAAGTCACTGTGCTTTATTGAACGTTTAACCGTTAGATTAATTAAAGAGTCGGTGAAAGTCTTACGTTATATCTTTCGCGCCACTGCCCTTGGTTGTTTATAGCTCCAAAAAAAAAGTTTCTTAGGTGGAATTTTTTTTTGAGTCCATCATTATCCAGCCTTCTGCGTGAAAAGATGAACACAGGCCTCCCCTAATTTCTTCTAGGCTTTTGCCACCATTTCCAACGCTAGAAAATATTTTTTCTAAGGCAATATTAAATAGGAGGCAAGCCAGAGTATCCCTTTGTCTGAATTAATCCTTAATCTCAAAAGTTATAAAATTCTTTCGCTATAATATAGCATGTGCTTTTAAGTTGATATTTGTCATTCTCGTTAATTAGGTAAGTGTTTCTTGTATACCAAACTCACGCATTTATTACTGATATAGAACTGTTCTTTTGACACTATTGTACGCTGTTTATATTCAACGAATAGGTGATGGGTTTCGGTTTTAATGTTAAATTCTAATGTTTTCTCGAAGATCTATTTTATTAAATGAATCTGGTTAATTGTTGATCTTTCTATAGTGAATGCGGCCTGGTATTTTCCTACTATGCTCACTGTGTAAACTTGTAACCTTTCATAGAAAAAATTTTCATATTATATTCATTTTTGTAGAGCCTACTGCAAATTTGATCAGTTCCTGGTGATTTATTATTCTTAAGCTTTTTAATGGCTTAGGCAACCTCCTCAATGGTAAATGCTTTCGTTTGGGTTAAATAGATTCCAATCATTTAAATCTGCTATGTTGTGATCTGCTTCTTTGATATGGTGACCGTTTAATTTTACGTCGGCAAATTCAACCCATCTATTCAAGAATAATACCATATTCTTAAGGATATTTTTCTCTTCATCCTTTCAGCTCCGTATTCTTGGTTTAAACTCTTTGCACATTTTATTTATATTCCTGTAGCACTTTCAAGTTCCACCCTAATTTCTTAGCCTTTCTATGCTTTTTAAGTGCTTTTTTCTCAAATTACCCCTTTTTCTTGTATGTAATTTTTTTCTCCTCTTCTTGGCGCTCTTTGTCACCATTCTTGTTTTTTTTAACTTGTTTTATTTTCCCCAATATTTCTGTTGCCTTATCATTTATTATGTTTTTACAGTTTGTCTATACTTCCTTCACATTTTCGACGTCAATATGCTGTCCATTTCTCCATCTATTTGTCTCGTATACTCTCTTGCAATGGTATTAATGCGCAGAGTCTCCACATTACTTATGTCTTGTTTATTCATTTTTAAGTTTGATATTCTTCCTTCGATTTTTGCCATTTCAAGAAAGTGGTTACTATTTATGTTTGGACCTTGGTATCTTTTGATGTTCATAAAATCAGAAGAATGTTTTGCATCTATCAGGATGTGATCTATCTGGTTAACCGTTTCGTTGTCAAAGGATTTCCATGTTCCTTTGAGTATTATTTTATGAAGAAATTTTGTTTCTTCTACTATCATGATGTTTTTGATGTTTTCAACGTTTATTAATCTTAAAGTCCCACAGTTGGCAGGAAAACTTGCACTTTGTCAAATTTTTGGCGGTAAGATTCTCAGCAGTTATTTTCACGTCATGGCATGGACATCTTTTGCATCGTCTTCCATTTCTTGCGTAGATGCATACACACTAAGTAAGCTATATATATATATATATATATATATATATATATATATATATATATATATATATATATATATATATATATATATATATATTATATATATATATATATGTGTGTGTATGTGTGTATGTGTGTGTGTGTGTGTGTGTGTGTGTGTGATATTCGCTTCTGTGTGCCATGGTGTATCTGCTTATTTGTTTATGTCATAGTTCCTTCTTTGTTTGGACGTCTTCTTTGACTCTTGACGCCTCCTTGATACTCTGTAATTTGGTTTATTTCTAGGAGTAAGGAGTCAAATTCATGTATTATTTGTTTCGGATATACATATTCTTCTACTGTGTTACAAGTTCCTGTAGTTCTGCAGGATTATTAGCAATCAAAAAGATATCGTCTGCCAACCTTAGATGGCCGACATATTCTCCATCAATGAAGAATTGATGGTGATCTTTGTTGTGTTCATTTTTATAAATATAATTTCTAGGGTTGCAGTGAAGAGTTTGTCGGACACCTCTGTTAGTGGAAAATTCTGGAGTGTTTGTGGGAAATTTCTGGAGAGTTCACTATTATAGTAAAGGTCAAACGTTTGAGAATAAAAGAAATTATATCAGCTACTTCATTCTTTTATTAAAGACTTTTCGTGTATTTATTAATAAGCAAACATACCTAGAGACAAAATATTTTGCACATGGTTAACCTGACATAAGATATATATATATATATATATATATATATATATATATATATATATATATATATATATATATATATATATATATATATATATATATATATATAAGTAAAAATTAATGGTATGTCTCGCAATACTAAAAACCAAAAATGGTATATAGATGGAAAAGGAAAAGGCTCCTTAGCCTTAGCTTAGCTCCTTAGAAACGGAGCACATTAACTTGGGAAAGGATCACTACAGGAGCAATGTAACCATTTATTATGAAATATAAAAATATAAAAATATAAATAAATAAAATGCCGGCCATTTTCACCGGCAGCACTCGACAAGCTCTCAGTGGTAACTTCATTATTACTTTTAAATTACTAAATTTTTAATTAAACATTAGAATAATGCTACCTAAAGTTAAAATGAAATCTTAATTATTGAATTACTGTTGGAAGTGCATTATTTAACCTTTTAGTTCTTTTCCATACTAATTTTGTTGTTTTTTTATACATGATAAGTTTTTACCTATATTTTTTTAACATACATGTACAACTACCACATGTTTTTTTGCTGTGCTAATTTTATGAAAATTGTCAACTATATTTAGTTCAATTTATTATTTATACAACATAATTATACAATGTCCATTGTCGTAAGCTTCTTTACAATAATTGTTAATATCACTGACTTATATATATCTTTTTGAGATGAACTGATGATGCTATCAAATTGGATATCGAAACGTTTTCAATAAATAGATGAAGTAGCCATCATCTTTGATCCTTATTTTATATTGGATTGACGGTCGTACTCCTTTTCTCGATATATATATATATATATATATATATATATATATATATATATATATATATATATATATATATACAATTTCGTTTATTTTGTAGGTTTTGTAGCTGCCAAATTCATCCACTCCAATCGCAACATGTGCTGTTCTTGTGTTCTTTTTAAATTCAAACCAGCTGAACTTGCTAACAAACAAATGATCGTACAAGTTACCAACACTGGAGGAGATGACCCTAGTGCCACTACCAACGAGTTTGATATTGCAATGCCAGGAAGTGGAGTAGGGTATGTTACGGAATTTAGTTTAGAATTAAGTCATACTTTGTTAACCTGATATTAAAATGAGATATGTTTGATTGGAAAAGCCTATTTAAAAAAAAAAACAAAAAATGGCAAATATTAAGTAAAATAACTTAAAAATCGTTAAAGTTATCATATAAATACGCATAAGATGAAAATTAATTTTATTGCTCCATAGGAATCGGAAAAGCTAATTTTCAATCCAAAATAGTTTAGGTATTCTCATATTTTAACAAATCCAGAAGTTAAAAAAGTACCAAAAAGTAATTAAAATAAAATGGTTTCTCTAGCTGAAAACTTAGTTGCAGTTTTAAGATCTTCTACAAAGGATGCAAAGAAGACTTAAGACAGACTGGAAAATTGAAACTTCTTAATAATCAATGTTTACCAATAAATTTTGCGAGATTTTCAGTAGTTTCTCGTTCTTAACATTGTCAAAGGTCTTAGTATATCGTACTATATACATCTATGTGACAGTACATAAAGGGCAAACAGGGCTTCCCTGGTTCCCAAATAAAAAATTAATAAAGTGACAGGAAATTACTCGTACATGGCATATGATAAAGAGGAATCGCAGTTTTAGTAGAAGAAAAAATCTTTGTTTAGAAATTCATTGAAGTGGTTTAACCCTTTATAGGGCAAAACTTTTCTTTACAGTATTAGGTCATTTTTATGAATTAATGCTGCAGATAGGATCCAATGTATGTCATAAAAATGTTTAAAAAATTCCAATCTTGATCAGAAAAAATCTGAGGGGGTCACTAGACTAACCACCAAACGTTTTGTGCAGTAGCAATACCAGCATGGTTGGTGATCAACAGAATAACCACTTTTATTTTAATCATAATGGTAGCTTAATATTATGAACTTTATAATGTGTGGAATGGTTCAAAACATGAAACAAACAATGCCACATCACATTCTTTACAAATAAGTGTTGATCTGACAACTTCCTTTTTTGTACTACAGTACCCACATCGTCGTACGTTTCCCTTCATGGGTAAATGTTTTCCTACATCCGATTTTCTTACAATAAGTGAATACAGCGGATAGCAAGTTAAACGATGAAAAATAGTTATCAAAAAATATACAGTACCTTTTATTGAAAAATGATTTTGAAAGATGGAATACTGTTTTTTCGCCTAATGTACCTTCTTCTTCTCTGTAGCTACGTCCTTCATAAAAATTGAAATCTAACATATATCCAGAGACAGAACATGCTATTACCCACACCTTGAAGCCTCTTTTGGTGGGCTTCATTGGCATATATTGCTTCAAACTTTACCTACCTTTGAAGCCCACCATACTTTCGTCTACTGCCAAATTGCGAGACGGTGAAAACGATTTTAAAAATTTATTAGGAAAATGAGAAAGTAATGGCCGTAATTTGTATAGTTTATCATACCCGGGTGTTCCTTTTCTAGGCATTGCTTGATTATCATACAAGTGTAAAAAGCGGAGAATTTTCAAAAATCTCTCTTGAGTCATTAAGTTTGCTATTTTGCTTACTCTGAAATTTTCATTCACAGACCAGTAAAGTCTGATACTAGGAAGTTGATAAATCCTCATTATAATTAGTATACCTATGAAAGCGTTGAGTTCAGTTACGTTTAAATTTAGTTGTATACCCTTCTCATGAGCATACTTATTTGATTCCTCGACAATTTTGTCTAATATGACATCGTCTAAAAACACATTCAAAAATTGGGAAGGTTTATCTAGATCGCAAATTGTTGAACCAAACCGTCGAGAGAAATTATATTGATTATAAGTAGTTGGAATGCATGTCTCTTTTCTAAAAACATAAGGATCGTTGCATGAGACAAAATTCGTAATTTCTTCAGATGCATTAGAATCTGAATCTTATTGGATAGAGTCAAGCAATAATTGGCCTCTCGGTATTAGTTTTTCCAAGCTGTAGGTGAGGTCAACGATAGAATCGTCACTATCATAAGGTTCACTATCAGAACCAATGCCCTGATGGTAATCACGTGAACGTGATAGCCTCTCAGGTTTTTCATTTGTGGAAACACATCCAGGGGTGCTTGGACCAGCTAAAGGTGTTGAACATCCACTGCTTATAGATGTAACAGAACAAAATGTAACTTTAATATCTTCGGCGTCACTGTCCCTATCATGATCAGAGTCAACCGCTTATACGTCTTTAATTCCATCGATCAGTTTATCGGAAGTTATATTTGTAATATCCAAAGTTTTTGAAAATACCATATTCTGTAAGTAAAATAAAAATAATTGATGTGATATCAATCTTACTTGTACAACAAATAAAGAGTAATCGATGACTCTGTCAAACAGAAAAGTTATTCAAGCTAGTAGTTGCTTTTGTACAGTTTCGAAAATGTGACTTATTCTTGCTATGCAATGTACGTGAACCAAGTTTACATTACACCTGACATTTTCTCAGCCGTAACAACATATACAAAACGGTAGCGAAAAATACTTTCCATACACTATGTTACAATAATTATGTATTATCATTAGATAATATTTGAAATAATTATAAAAAATCTAACCTCACTTCATGCAAATTCTATGTTATGCTTATCTTATACTCTCTGTAATGCAAAAATGGTAAATAAAATATTGAAAATCGTTTTAGAAATCCAACCTAGGATACACATACACTAATTATTTCACTAATAATACACTAATTATTTCAACAATATTTGTATTAGAAAAAGTATTACAACCACTCGAATATAACAATATATGGTATTAAATCAGATTGCCTATACTGCTTCGTCATGGAAGCAGTATAAGCACTATGATTTAATACCACGAGTTTGTTTTCAATCCGACGTCTGCTGACGTCGCCCGACATCGGATCGGGAGAAATACGGTTCCAATGTAGGTGTACACTAAGTGATATTAGGAACATTCTTTCATTAAAACGTCTGTAACTTTTTACTATTATGATCTTAACGGTAGTGGTTAGTACAGTGATCACCAACCGCTAAAGGGTTAATATGAGCTACAGTCAATTTAGGACATATGTGAACAAACCTATTTTAATTTTGTGATGTTATGAAATAACTTACTTATAATTAAAAACAACCGTCGTTATTAAAACTAAGCAATATATTTCAGATACTTCACACAAGGCTGTACTTCTCAATGGCATACTGATGTTGCCAGCTGGGGCGACCAATACGGTGGTGTACGTACCTTACAAGAATGTTACAATCTTCCCCAACCATTATGGGAAGGCTGTGCATTTAGATTCAATTGGATGTACGGTTATTCTAACCCCGATGTTACATTTGAAGAAGTCGAATGTCCACAAGAGCTCATCGATATTAGTGGTTGTCTTCCTGTATCTCATCCTTAACTAGTTTAGTAAATATAATGATAGCAAAAATAATTTATTCGTTTTATTTTATTTTAAGAACCATATATATATATATATATATATATATATATATATATATATATATATATATATATATATATATATATATCAAAGTAAAAGAGAAAATCTCAGTGTCTAGTTGTATACCATAGGAGTCTATTTTTTCTGGAATTACTTTAGGATGTACCTTGTATTAATGATCACTATATACACTAATCACAAACTTTGTGCTTAATTTTTTAATTAACAACATTAATAACTTTTTGCTCCATGTTTTCGCCTATAACGTGAAACATCTGCTCCTACAAAAAAATTTTATAAGGTGAAAGTTTTGTTTTCCCATTTTAGTTTTCAATTGGCGCGGGAGTTTGCGCAAACATTTCTGAAGAAAGGATTTTGATTGGAGGATAGAGTAAACGATATTATAAAAGAGATAACGGGATGCCGTTATCTCTTTTATTGAGACAATTTGGCCTTTTTTCAATTTCTATGGCTTCTCGGATAATTCTTGGTTTATAGAAGCGGGTATGAGCTATGGTTCTGAAGTTTTCAAAAACAATTTTGATTTTGATATGAAGATAGTGTTGACCTAGAACTAAAATTGAATCGGAATTTCGAACAGAAATAGAATGTTAGTAAATCCTATTTTGAAGTCTCCAATTTGTTTGACCTATATAAGTTCGAAAGCAGTCTGCACAGGGAATTTCATAATTCCCTGTGCAGACTGCATAAAGCAGTCTCCCCAAACTTGGGTTGAGATTAAGTGGGAAAATGATGTCTCTGGATACAAATACTGATGTGATTTTCTCGGTAACATCAAAGCTAAGATTAATATTATTACAAGAATTAATATTAAACTCAACAGGCTTCCGGGTTGAACCGTGTCAATTATCACTGTGACGAGTTTTCCACATTCTCTCTGATGTCTTCTTTAGGGTTTCCGAGGTCTCAGTCTCCCAAGCTCCCAGACAATACTACACTGATCACTAATCAATGCATTACTGCTATTGTCCAAGTACTTGGCCAAAACTCTACAACGCCTCGCCAAAAATGCTTTATTCTTTGTCAAAAATTCTTTTATTTTATAGAACTTCTTAAACAATGCCCTATCTCATTGTCAGATATTCTAGTAAGTTTCGATATCATTTCAATTCTGCAGACAAATAAATGGTGCCCCAATCGGCTCCTAACTATCTCCAGTCACTGCCAATATCGTTATGAAAGACTTTCGAGACCCGAGCACTATCCACATCAAAGCTCAAACCCACATAATGGCTGCGATATGTTGTCGATACATTCGTCATTTAGCATTACAACGGGAATGCTTTGGTGTCTTCAGACCCATCTGAATAGTATACATCCTAATATCCAGTTCACGATGGAGGTGGACTAATGGTGGAGATATATATATATATATATATATATATATATATATATATATATATATATATATATACAGGGTGGTCCTTAAGTAATTGTACAAAAAGAAACCGCAGATTCTACGCTTTAAAATATTACGATTAAAGTCAACTTGCTTTAATAAAATGTTGATATTAAAAAAGATACAGGGTGTTAAAGTGGAAATTTAAAATTTTATTTTTCGCTATAACTTTTATGTTTGTAAACATTTATTTATAAAAATTTACAACTGAGTACTATTTAATATTAGGAATTATAATTTGATACACTCTTTGATATAGCCAATAGAGGGCGCCACATATACCACATACGTGGCATACATTTGCACTTAACTTTTTTGTTCTTCAAGTTAGCGGTATTTTTGATAAAACATATTAAAGACACATTATTTTAACAAAGAAAAGGTATACTTGTTAATAACATCAAAACTCAACGGTTTTCGAGATAATCGCATTTTACAAATCAACTGCATAATTTTGATTTAACGCAATTACTCCAGGCAATGAAAGAAAAATAGATAAAAACATCAATACTTCTAAATTTTGTTATAAAATTCCTTTAATAAAGTTAATAGTTAACGAAATATTAAATAAAATAAATATATCAGCAGGATTATTAATAATAGAATTCGATAAAATAACAGAATAATTGGATTTTACATCAAACATTTTACGTTTTGTATTAAATTAAAGTCATAATCAAAACATTTTATTTACAAACCAAATTAATAAATTGTTAAACTTAATAACATTAAACTTTTTGTCAAAGTAAGTGTTCGATATGTCCACCATTTTTTTTAATTCATTTGTTAATCTATAAAATATTGTCTCATAGTAAATAGCATCATTGGTTCTAAAGAAACAGCTGCAGTACTTATTATAAGTATAACAATAGGTATTCTTTTGGGATTTTAATGAATTAAATAATTATATTAATATCTTACCACATAATCAAGGAATATGACTATCACGAACAATCCAACGTTCAGGAAAGTTTTTTTTAAATACTCTCACTCCCCCTTCTCTGTAATGTATTGGTGTACCATCTTGCATAAACCAAATATTTAGCCTTATGTTTGATGACAATTCTTCCAATAAACCAATAAAATCATTTTATAAAAATCCAAATAAATCTAACCATCCAAATTGCAAGGTAATTCGCATATCTATAAAATATCAAACAAAATTCATATTTAAAATGCATGTCCTATAGTTTGGAATCATTGGTAATTATTTTTTACGGATATGCGAATTACTTTGCAATTTGAATGTCGAGATTTATTTACATTTTTTTTAAAGTATTTTATTGATTTGTTCAAAGTATTGTCATCAAACTTAAGGCGAAATATGTGGTTTCTACAAGATGGTACACCATTACGTTACAGAGAAAGTGTAGTGAAACAGTGTTTAAAAACAACTTTCCTGAACGTTGGATTGTTCGTGGTAGTCATATTCTTGTGGTAAGATATTAATATAATTATTTAATTCATAAAAATTTCAAAAAATTAACTATTATTTTACGTACAACATTTATAATAAATACTGCAGCAGTTTCTTTAGAAGCAATGATGCTATTTAATATGAGACGATATTTTATGGAATGTATTGACAAATGAATTAAAGAAAATGGTGGACATATTGAACACTTACTTTGACAAAAAGTTAAACGTTATTTAGTTTATTTATTTCTTAATTTGGTTTGTAAATAAAATGTTTTGATTATGCCTTTAATTTAATACAAAACGTAAAATGTTTGATGTAAAATCCAATTATTCTGTTATTTGTCAAATCCTGTTATTTTATCCTGCTGATATATTTATTTTATTTAATAATTCGTTAACTACTAACTTTATTAAAGGTATTTTATACCAAAATTCAGAAGTATTGATGTTTTTCTTAAATTTTCTTTCGTTGTCTGGAGTAATTGAGTTAAATCAGAATTATGTAGTTGATTTCTAACACGCGATTATCTCGGAAACTGTTGAGTTTTGGGGATATTAAGAAGTATACCTTTTCTTTGTTCAAATAATGTATCTTTAATATTTTTTAATAAAAATTCCCTTAACTTGATTAGCAACAAAGTTAAGTGCAAATATATGCCACGTATGTGACATATGTGGCGCCCTCTATTAGATACATCAAAGTATACATCAAATTAAAGTTTCTAATATTTAATACTACTTAGTTGTAAATTTTTATACATAAATGTTGACAAACATAAAAGTTATAACAAAAAATAAAATTTTAAATTTCCACTTTAACACCCTGTATCTTTCTTAATATTAACATTTTATTAAAGCAACTTGACTTAAATCCTAATATTTTAAAGTGTAGAATCTACGGTTTCTTTTTGTACAATTACTTAAGGACCACCCTGTATATATATAGCAAAACTGGTAAGATTATCGACCGAAACGTAAATAACAATTTATTGTGTTGGAATATCGGGTATGCGGTCTGTTATTATTTAAAAAAAAACTCTTTTTTCTTTTAATCCTCTATATTTCGCTGATTTTGTGTTAGCTTCATCAGGAGACAAAGATTTAGAGTGGAAAGTATTTAAACAAGTTGTTGAACATAATTTGTTCAAAACAGTACTTGTCAGTACTATTGACACCAAACATGATAATAATAAAATTTTAAGAAACAAGTTTTTTTTTAATTTAATATTTGTGTGATTGTGTGATTTTTTTGTAAAGGTATTTGTAATCTCAAGACTGATAAGTAAAAAAACTAATAATTATAACTACGTAATTTTTATAATAATGATTTATTGAAAATAAATTCGAAAGCTTGACAGTAAGTCAAAGAGTTTTCTTTGTCTTGTGGACCAAATAGACTTCATTCTCAATAATCGCCACCAGATATATATTATATATATATATATATATATATATATATATATATATATATATATATATATATATATATATATATATATATATACATATATATATATATATATATATATATATATATATGTATATATATATATGTATATATATATGTATATATATATATATATATATATATATATATATATATATATATATTTATATATAATATTCTTACTTTAATGGCGGCAGCGCCGCGGAAAAGCTTTGTAGTCTTTGTTTGAAATCATGTTCTCAGTTTCTTTAACCAGGAGAGAGAACCTTTATTTTTCTTTTATGGTCATTACTGCTAAATAATGTCGACGTTGTTCAAAATGGCGATCTTGCTTTCTCAATTTACATTTGATATCGAATGAACTATGACTAATTATATTTAGATGATAAGTATAATAATTGAATCGGTGTCAACAAAAAAAGTCATGAAAACCATTTTTTCGGAAAACTGAAAAAAACTGTATAGATCTGTATTAGTCATCTAAATTAATACCAAAAAAATTGAGAATGTTTTTGACACTTTCAGATGTAATGTTTCATATTTATCAGTGCAAAATAATAGGTGTACATATATGATATATATGTTTAAATGTGGTCGACTTAGAACTTTTTTGTTTACATTCCTAAGTTGACACAAAAAAACCTTCATTTTGTTTAAAGAAATTTATATTTAACCTAAAAAATACAATTTTTAAGTAAAAGTTTTAAATACAAACATTCAGTCATTTTTTGAATGCTTCAAAATGTCATGTTTCCTCCTACCGGATGTCATGTTCATCTTACCCAGTATTGGGACTATCAGTTGTTGGTCACTCCATTAATCCGTCATAAAACTGTCTGACACTATTAGGTATATAAGGTAATAACTTACCAATATCTTAGAGCTTCACTTTTTTAAGTGGTACTTTACCGGATGGATAACAAAGTATTGTGGGAAATTCAATTGATTGATTATTAACTTGAGAACGTTTACCAAATTTAAAAGAACTTATACCAATAGATATCTTATCCTTAACAGAAATAAGTTTTCCACTTGTTTTCTCAGAAATGCACGTCTTTTTATAGTAGGTTGGCCACCAATGTTGAAAATCTAGTATATCTTCTGTGCTAACTTCTTTGACTGTAAACTTATCTATCGTATTACTCGAAGTAATAATAAGTTCAGTTATCTCGTGTAAGGTGTATATTCTATCATGTCTTTTTAGTTTTCCTTTGATGATTGAAAAATCTCTGTCACAAGGAAGGTATGAGTGTCCTCAAATGGAATATTATTGCTCAATTCGATTGAATCGACCACTGCTGGTAAGGGCTAAAAACACTCTGTTTAATGTATGGTTCTTATTTTGACCTCCGCAATTATCCGAGTAAATGTGGACTTCCGTAAACTGAGGAGGAGCAGAGTTTAAATAATTATATACAAATGAACAAACCTCATCCGGACTTGTCTTATTAATAGCCTGGTATGAGCACTGATTGCATTAGTGCCCAATTTTTTCCCACGAAGATCATTCGGGGTTTTACCCATTAATAATAATGAACGAAGCCTTCTAATACGCCTTATTTTAATTCCATATAGCGACTTAAATGCTTCTATACATACCGTTTCTCTGGTTTCACCCACAATTACCTCGTATGTAAAATAAACATTATGAGCAGCCCTCGCAGAAGCACCTTCTTTTCTGGGTCTATGGTTTTGTACATTGTTACAGGTAATCAATGATTGTAAAAAAATATCCTGCTCGTTCTTAGTTTCCAATGTTCTCAAATAAACGAATATGTTTTCAGCTTGATTCTGCAAGCGGTCTGTACAGTTCTGCTTACATCTGAACTCAAAAAAATCTCGATGAAATAAACCTTAGTTTATTATATAGACTGCAAAACGTATCTTACCTGCAATCAGGGTCAACAGTGATATCTGGTACAACTCTACCTTTGTAATTAATGTACTCTTCACCTTTGACTCTAGCATTTCTCACGATATTTCGTTTCCATTTAGCTTCATTGTTTACTTTTCTTCCGTCGCTGGTACTGCTTGGTTCGTTATCCATCGCAATTTTTAAAAGAATACAATAAAATGATGCTAAATGTAACTTTAACCTCACAAAACCAACAAAACCAATCATCAAACATAGTTATTTAATTTTATTAGAGATTCACATAATATACAGGATTAATTAATACAGTACAAACACATATGTTAATGGTGTTGCCTACAAAAACATTCTGTCACTGACATAGAATCTTTTAGTCTACAATGATATATTTCAGTTTTTTATTTAACATACATGGAGAGTAGAGACTTAGAATGTTTTTGTACCAAAAGATGCTCTTTTGTTCATAGAACAATTTTCCATCAAAATGCCAAAAATGAAAAAAAACGACATAGAATGTTTTTGTTTACACCGATTCAATTACAATGTTGCATTGCAGGTGAGCCAATAACTAAAACTTAGTTTACTAAAAATAGTTTGAAGCACTTTGTTTTTCTCGTGATGTACTTGAATTTTTTTAGTTGCCGAAGATAAGGTACTTATATTTATTGAATACAGAGATTTACTTTAATTAAAGGTAGTTAAAATGAAGTTCGTAGTGGCATTTTTATTGTTAAACGTTTGTAAGTTAAAACTAATTTTAATTTTTCCTTTATAATGACTATAAAAGAGATAATTTTTTAATAACTTTTACTTCAATATATAGTCCGTCTAGAAAGTATCCGGAAAAAAGAAAGATGAATTATAATTTTACGGCATTTATTTCTATCACTTGAAATATAAAATTTTAACAAATAATTAATCTCATTTACTTATACAACCTCTATTTAAATCTAAGCACTTAACTAAACGTCCAGGTACACCCATAACTAGATCAAGGCCATAATTTTCTGTAATGGTGTTCCAGGCCTGTAAAACTGATCGAATCAAACCTTCTTTATCTCGTGGCGCTGCTCGCTCTTCATCAGTCCCCATAAGTTTTCAATGGGGCTAAGATCTGGAGATGCTGCTGGCCACGGAATTGTTGCTAATTCGTGTTCTTGCATCCAAGCTTGAGTATAAGTATGGCATCTTGCATTATCTTGCTGAAAACGCCACCCCTCTGGATATAAAACATAAGCCGTTTCAAGAAGAAAACCATTTAGGATGTCACAATATTTCGCACTATCAACAGTATCATTAATTATACAGAGAGTTGTAGCACCACGCTGAGATATTGCTCCCCAAACCATTATTTTAGTGGGAAATTTGGAAAATTCAACGGTAACATTTTCTCTTGATAGGACTTTTAGATGATTTGCACCAAGCTGGAAACAACTTTCATCAGATATAAAGACATTATTAAAATTATCTTCTCGAAAACGTTGACAAAAATCTATTCTTCGTTGTCTTTGCAGAGGTGTCATTGTAGGGATTTTTTTTGGATTCCTTGATATGTAGCCTTGCTTTTTTGGTGACATGCGGACAGTTTCTGGGCACACTTTTATTCTTCGGTGATTTCCAAATCTGTTCTAATTTTCAAAACCCTAGGCGCGGATTTTGTCACTAAAAGCCACTAAAGTATTTAAATTGTTTCCGCGAATCTTACGCGATCTACCCGAAACTGGTCTATGTCTCATATCTATGCCATTTTTTATCCTCTTTATTGTCTCATACACTGCACTTTTTCCGAGTTCAGTCAATTGCACTAATTTTTTAACGTTTCGGATGCCCTTTCTGTACAAATATTCCACCACTTTTCTTTTTTCTACTTGCGACATTATTTCACAAATCTTAAGTCTGTTTACAAACTACAATATTTGACAGATGGTGTTGTCATGCGATATTGTCCATAACCTACTATCGGCACAACCTACTTGATGCATAACTTTTGTCTTAAAATGTTACAAAAAGGAAATCTATTAAAATTAGGAAAAATATAAAATTCCGGATACTTTTTAGACGGACTATATATAATATAAAATTAGTATTTCTTGGGTTTAGGTTTAAAAAGTAATATTAAATTTAGAACTAGATTTTATTATGCCATTGAAATTAACGTGTCTGCAGGTAACCCTTGTCTTTGTCAAGATTCTAAAATGTACAAGATTAGGAACAAAAAGTTATTATAAAGTATATAAAAAAACTTACCGAAACGTAAGAGTAAAACTGACATTAATGAATTGACAGAAGTAAAAAATTGAGATCTTCTATCTCATGGTAATATTATTTATAAGAAAACTAGTTGTATAGTCAGAATTCATATTAACTCAAAAAAAAAGATTAATAGACAAAAACAAAAATTTGCTAATAAAAATATTAAAACTTTTATAGCTTTGATCATATAACATTGGTGCAAACAAATGCTTTTAAATCTCTAAAAAGTTTATTTTGAAAAAGAAATATAAATAGTCAGTTATACTAGATACCGACACGCGCCAGACTGGTGAGTGTCAAAAGCCTTAATGGTTAAATAATTTTGTTCTGTAAACTTTGCATTAACAACAATTTCCGTGTGTGCTTTAGAGTGACAATCATGTCATTTGTGGTCATTTATATGTGTGGACATATGTCTGTCATAAAATAGTCTAAAGAAGAGAAGATAATTTTAACTCTTGATCGGATGCCCTTAAATATTAAAAACGAAATGTGTTTAGATAAGTCTAAAGAAACTAGTGCGAAACTCTACACAAGGGAAAATTATGTTTTCATATGTGATGAATTAAAATAATAGAAGAGAATCATCATCAACTAGCCTATATTTGTCCACTGCTGAAAGTGGGCCTCCTGTATAATGTATCCCCTATTTCTATCTTCAGCTTCTTGCATCCAATTTGTAGTGATTCGCTTTATATCATCCGTCCATCTAGACGGTGGTCGTCCTCTGTTTCGATATGTCTTTTGTCTTGGTTCCAGAATCTTTTTGGTTCATCTGTCATCCGTCAATCTGGCAATATGTCTGGTCAAAGTCTATTTAGACATGGCCCTTTTTTCAACTGCATCCATGACTCCTCTTCTTCTTTTTATTTCTAGGTTTGATACTTATGGTATCAAACTCTCTTATGGTAATACCTAGCATTAATATTTCCTTAGTGTATTTTTATTTTTTAATGGTTTTGGAACCCTAGCGTGTTGTGTAACTCTTATTTTATTTATTGTTCCTTTGTCAGAGTTAGTGTTTCTGCACCATATGTAAGGGCCGGTAAAACACATTGGTTAAAAACCTTTCTTTTTAAACAAACTGGAATATTAGACTTGACAGTGTTGTTCGATCTATCAAAGGAAATGTTAGATATCCTTATTTGTATTTCAGTTGTCTGATTATCTCATCCTAAGCGAATCTCATGTCATAGATTTTTGTAAGCTATTATTTGGTCGATGCTATGGCTTTTAATTTAAATTTTATCGCTGACTACAAGGTTGGTCATAAATTCTGTCTTTGAGGTGTTAATTTTAAAACCAATTATTTTTGACGCTTCATAGAGCGTTTCATTCATACCATTTGCTAGAACATATATACGAATACAGCTGTAAATAATGTCAGGAAGATAGTATCTTCTTCTTCTTTTGGCATCATAACCCTAGATGGGTCTTTTCCTGTCTGGCTATGTCCTTCCATTCAGATCTCTCTTTTGCCCTTCTCTTTTTTGCCCTTCTCCATTGTCTTATGTTCATTGTTTTCAGGTCGTCTTCCACGTCATCCAACCATCTCGTTCTGGGCCTTCCTTTTTTTCGCCTTCCTATGGGCTTCCATTGTAACATTTTCTTTGTTGTTTTTGCATCGTTTTGTCTCTGCACATGTCCCAGCTATGACAGTCTTTGACTTTTCACAAATCTTACAATGTCATAACCTTCATTTAACTCATTAACCTCGTCGTTTCTCCTGATTCTCCAGATGAAGATAGTATCACCCTGGCTAATTTGACGTTCTATATACATCTTCATGAAATTGGACACAAACTACACCAGTTTCGTAGATACTCTTAATCAAGGCAATATATCGGTAGTAGGTGCAGCAGTCAGATAGTCTACGAATATAAGAAAGATGAGCTTGGTGTATTCTGTGCACGTTTCTACAACATAATAATGTGAAACAAATCTGCAGTGAACTAGATTAAAAGGATTGATTAAAATACTGAAAAATAAAGAATTTAGTCAGTTTTAGTCAAATATTGTCTTTTTGGTCTTATATCAGAAAAAAACGAGATACCTTTCCGATTATATTGCCGAATAATTATAAGAAAGTTATTTCAAAGATACACAAAACGAACATGACATTATTTTATAAACATCTAGATGGAGATTATATAACATTTAAAGAACACTAAGCAACTGATAAAACCAAATTAAGATATTACATAAAATTAGATTAATATGAAGTAAAAAGACATAACAAAATAGTTTTACAGAAATAGGATAGTGGAGATTAGAAATAAAAAATAATCTCATTGAAGGGGTGGTCTATGATCCTCATATGTATATAGCTATGTTGGTATCAGATTAATTTTTATTTTTCTTTATTTAAATTTCCAGATGCGTTGGCTGAACCTTTGTATACCGAACCTTTGGAAGTCGGAAACGTCATCATTGAAAAAATTCCTGGAGGTTTATCCGGTTCCGGTACCACTACACGTTATTGGGATTGTTGCAAACCAACTTGTTCGTGGCCTGGAAATGTAAATTACAAAACCCCAGTTAAATCCTGTCAGGCTGATGGTATTACCGCAATCGACCCTGAAACACAATCGGGATGTGTGGGCGGAGCTGCTTATGTCTGTACTAACCAAGCGCAACGTTCGGTGAATGACTCTATCGCTTTAGGTGAGTTCTAGATTTTACCATATTTTGGAAAATATTTAAGTATCACAAATAACTTTGTTTATTACATAATCATCTCTTAAACTTTCTATAAGTTACAACACAGTTTATGTAGAATTTTTTAGCTTATGTTTTATCGTTTATAGGATAAAAGTGTTTTAACCTGTGGGTTGCAACCTCCATGGTGCCAAATTCTTAGTCCTAGAGAAGTGTACTCCTCTAAGGAGTAAAAAGCTGAAGTCTTACAGAAGATGCTACAAAATGGTTAGAGGCATTCGAAATGTGGTGCTACCGACGTGGGTCTCTAACTTATCTTAAGAACAACTAGTTAAACAGTTAAATATTTAGACCACAAAGGCGGAATAAAGTTTTACTTCGAATCCTTTGATTTGATCTTTTACAATTAAAATGTTTTCTTCCCTCATTTAAAGGATATATATATATATATATATATATATATATATATATATATATATATATATATACACGCACTCAAAAATGTTTTGCATATTATCTGTAACGCCACTGAACGTTTCCAATTTGAAATTTTTTGCACTGATTTTTTTTTTGTCTACTAAAATAATGTATTTTACTGATTGTTTTTTGTTTCTTAATCGTCGTAGAGATTCTTAGAATTCATATTGTGTTCATCAGTTTTCGAAAACCGATATTTGTAAAAATTGGTTTGCGTTTTATTCACTTTGTAGTAAACAATATGAATGGGCAAGTGATATCTGAGTTCAACAGAGCTAGAATCGTTACTTTGATTGAGGAAGGCCACACACAAGTCGACGTTGCTGTCCAGGTTGGAGTTAACCAGAGTGATATGTCTCGGATTGTGAAAAAATATTGAGAGACGAATTCTGTTAGCGATCGTCCAAAAAGCGGAAGACCCAGAATTACTACCAATGTCCAAGAACGATTTTTAACGTTAACTGCCCGGAGAATCCCCTCTATGACTGCCCCAGCTATTAGAAGAGAGCTCCAGCAAGCTCATAATATTGTAATTTGCGATCAGACTATTAGAAACAGGTTACATTCGGCGAATTTATTTACAAGAAGACCATTGTTTGTACCAAAGCTTACGTTAGAGCAGAAAAGGACTCGACTGGAATGGGCCAATGAACATTTACAATGGCATGACAACAGATGGGGAAAGGTCTTATTTTCTGATGAAACCAAAATTAGCCTTTTGTCGGATAATTGCCGAATTAGGATTTGGAGGAACCCAAATCGACAGGATAAACTTAACCAAGTTGTCCAAAGAATCCCATATCAAGGCGGCTCCATAATGTTTTGGGGCGGCATCATGCTAAATAATAAAACTCCTTTAATTCCTATTGTTGGTAACATGAATGGACAAATTTATATTAATACCATTCTTAGGCCTGTTGTACGCTTGTGGCGAGAAGCTGTTGGTCCAGAATTTATTTTAATGGACGACAATGCGCCTCCCCATCGTACGAGACAGCTAGCAGATTTTTTAGAGACAGAAGATATCGTCAGATTACAATGGCCACCTTGCTCACCTGACCTTAATCCCATTGAGCACGGATGGGATATACTCAAAAGAAAAATTCAGTCCCGGCAGCCACCCCCAAGGACACTACAAGACCTTAGAATAGCAGCGATTGAAGAATGGGGCACCATGGACCAGAACTACGTTAATACACTTATTAGAAGCATGGGACATCGCATTCAGTCTTGCGTTGATGCAAGAGGTGGAAATACGGCATATTACGTATTAGTTCTTATATCTGTACAAATTTAAAAAAATATATTTATAATACATATTATACATAATAATAATAAATTGTTAATTCTTTAAATTTTGTTGATTGTTTCTTTTTCAAAACAAACAATTTAATATATAATAAAGTATTTTGTTACAAAACAAATAGATTTCACCAGATTTGGTGGATAATTTTGAAAATATTACATTATGCAAAACATTTTTGAGTGTATATATATATATATATATATATATATATATATATATATATATATATATATATATATATATATAAGAGTAAGAAAAAAGAATATAATAAATAAAATATATATATATATATATATATATATATATATATATATATATATATATATATATATATATATATATATCAGAAATTATACAGTATTCACTACTTTCCCGCGCTAAACCGTTTTCATCTCACTCTGTTGTCCCATTCTCTATCGCTTAGGCCTCTCTTAGTCATGGTGTCGTTTACTTCGTTCTTCCAGGATCTTCAGATTCGTCCTCTTTTCCTCCTTCCTATGGGTCTCCATTCGGTTATTCTCTTTATCAATCTTCTGTCGCTAGTTTTTCTTACATGTCCATAATAGTTTAGTCTTTTTTGTTCTATATACCTATGTTAGTATGTCTGTTTCTGTTTAAGTTCTTTGGCTGATTTCGCCATTACTTCTCCTATCCATTCTTGTTACTCTGCAGCATCTTCGCAGGTATTCCATATCTGTTGCTACTGTCTTACTGATGTTTTTCTTATTTATTATCCAATTTTCAGCCCCATATGTCATAATATTTCGCACTAATGTTTTATAAATCTGTGTTTTTTTTTTCATATTTAGGTGTCTATCCCACCATACTGAGTTAAGTTGTCGGATTGCTGTTTTTTGTGATTATAAACCCCAAGTATTTGGATTTATCATTTCCTTTAATTGTTACGTTATCGTCAATATGTAGATCTTCTATGTCTTCTTCACTTGTAGATAGGTACTCTGTTTTCGCGAGGGTAATATCTAGGTCAGCCTTGGTATATTCTTCTTTTAGTTTCTTCATCATGTAACTGAGGTCCACAGTTACATGATGAAGAAACAACTTATTAACAAAGGTATAATATATACTTCTGCATCCACGGCCCCTTTTTTGCCTTTAATATTGCCTTGTAGAATCAACTGTAGAAGTCAGTATTTATTATTACACATAATATATTGCTGAAGTAAGCCAATCATATGCATGTCGTTAGTTACTAAGTGTACGTTAAGGCAAAAATATTGTTAGACGGGAAGTGCCATTTTGAGAGGGCACATTAAATAAAGAAAGAGAGTCTCTTTCCTTGTTTAAAAAGTCAAATTTAATTGTGTTATGTTATTGTTTGTCCCATTTTCCCATTCATTCTGAAAAATAATTTATAGCTGATGTTAATAAGTGTCGTAAAATTTAAATTTGCCATATTAAAAGGCCACTTTTATGAATTTTGGTCTTCTTTTCATAACGATTAGACCTTTTTTTTTTTGTCTTTTTGCTTGATGACGTTTACACAGACTGCTATGGCGCGATCAGCGATGCAATGCTTTCCTAATGTTTCCTATGCAATGATATCAAACACTTGTACCGCGCCTTGTTCAAAGAGCGCACGATTTAGTGCGATGTAGCGGCTAGTATGCGCTTCGGTTTTATTTATTTATTTTTTATTTTTATGCACAACATGCCGTTAAGGCCTAGGGCATGTTTTTTTTAAACATAATCCTAATATTAACTAATTACAATTATTTTATACAAAACTTTAACTTAAATATGTATATACAACATTCTTAACTACTCTGAAGGACCTGGTGGACAATATTTCTCCATTCGCTTCTATTTTGTGCTTCTCTTTTCCAGTCCCTCACCTTCACGTGTTTAAGGTCTTCCTCCACTTTACTAATACACCTCGTTCTGGGTCTACCTCTTCTTTTGGGGCCGATTAGTTTTCTGGTTATTACTAGTTGGGGCATTCTGTTTGCTGCCATTCTTTCCACATGTCCAAACTATCTGATTCTTTGTGACTTGACGAACTTGGTAATGGTGGGTTCTTTGTAGAAAGCCATTAATTCATTGTTGGTTCTTTTCTACCAACCATCTTCTATCTTCCGTCCTCCGAATATGCGTCTCAATATTTTTCTTTCCCATCTTTCCAGAGTATCCTCTTCCTTCTTATTTATTATCCATGTCTCACCAGCATATGTTACTGTGGATCGAATTACTGTTTTATATATTCTAAGTTTACCTTGTCTAGAAACGTATTTTTGAATTCAGTAGGGCTCTTAAACTACCTAATTTTTTATTCCCTTTTGCTATTCTGGCTTCGAGCTCTCAGTTCTCTTTTCCATTTTCATCGAAAACTACACCCAAGTATTTAAATTTGTCCACTCTTTTAAAACTATAGCTTTTACCACTTACAGACCTCACACTAAAGTCTTCTTTTTTCCCTTCTCTCCCTCTTATGATCATATATTTGGTTTTGTCTTCATTTAGTTTCAATCCGAATTTCTGTGCTTCTTCGATGATTTTCTTCACAACTCTTCTTAATTCTTTCTCGGTTTTTGCTAGGATCGTTAAATCGTCAGCAAATGCCAAGCACTGGTGCTCATTTTTCATGATTGTTTCTTCCACCTTCATGTTGCATTTTCTGATTACAGTTTCTAACACTAAGTTGAATAATGTAGTGGATAAAGGATCTCCCTGTCTCAAGCCTTTTGCAAACGTAAATTGATATCATATGTGAGCCTGCCAAGCAATTTCACACTTAGAGTTATTTAATGTCATTTTTACTAGCCGGATAAGTTTCTTTGGTATAACCAAATGTTCCATTGCTCGATACATTTTGACTCTATCGACTCTATCATATGCTTGTCTAAAATCTACAAACAAAACATGCAGGGGAACTTTACCTTCATAACAAGTAGTTTGTATCTCCTTTAATGAGAAGATTTGGTCTACAGTAGATCTGTCCTTTCTAAAGCAGGCCTGATACTCATGTAGGATTCTTTCCGTGTAACAATTTAGTTTATTTCTCAATATTCTTGCCAAGATTTTGTATACCGTGTCTAGTGAGGCTATACCACTATAGTTGTCACACTTCAGTTTGTCTCCTTTTTTATGCAGAGGGCATATGCGGGCCTCATACCACTCCGATTGCATTATTTCCTTTTCCCATACTTGCACTAGTAGCTGATATATTTTTCTTTGTAGTTGTGCTCCACCAAACTTGATCATTTCT